TTAGATTATTTTAGGCTCTCTGAAGTCTTGAAATATGTATGAGTTTGAATTGCACAGGTCCATGTATATGTGCTTTTTTACCCCCAGTAAATACAGTGGCCCTCTGTACCCATGGGTTTCACATCCATAGGTTCAACAAACTGTGAATCAAAAACAGTGTTTTAAATTCCCAGCCTCAGTTTCCCAACAGTGGATTCCCAAACATGGATAAAAAATACTGGGCTCAGCAAAATGGGTGCTCAGAAAATGGGAGTGAGGAATTAAGGGCAGTGTTGGCTTTAACACTAGTAATCGTATTTATGGTAATTTAAATAATTCTAAGGAAAATTGCTCTTATTTTATGTGTATTTTGTTTTCAGGGTTATTTTGGAGCCGTTGGAGCACTTCTTGAGCTGTTGAAGATCCCCTGATCGTTACCTGGGGAAGGGGGTTCTTGGAACCTTCCACAATGGGATCTGTGAACATTTTTTTTTTAAGAGACTTACTTAATTTTATGATTGTGTATTACCTGAATCAAAGCAAGAAAGGACAAGTGAATTTTTCTAAGTCATCAAGATAAACCCTTAAAAATTCATTCTAAACTGATAACCAGTAAGGAAAGCTATATATGTATATGTGTATGTAGATATAAAGTGGACCATGTCCATTGCAGTGAGGATTGGATATAAATACCTGCTGTATATTTTTGAAATTTAGTGTCACTCACTGGAGCCACTTAAGGGGAGAGCTGTTTTGTGTTCAGCTTACTGTGGTTTTGTGTCCTGTTGAACTTGCTAAATGTAAGGCAAGCTACTATGTGTTATAATCTAATCACAGTTTTGTCAGTATGGCTTTGGGGATATCTCCTGTGCATTAACTCTGGTGTGCATTTAACCTTTTTGTGAACATATTGAAAAAAATATTTTAATTCAAGGTTCTGCAAACTTAATTGGGCAGGTTAATTCTGTACCTATAACTGTGACAAGTAAGCAACTTTTAGAAGGACAGTTCAGGTTACTTTACACCATAAACCCTAGGAAGGTCTCTCTGGAAAGACAGGGCTTCTGTGGGCAGAATTACCTTGGGTATTGGGCTGATGAAAGTAAGCAAGCTACTACAAAAAGCATAATCTTGAACACTAAAACCAGACAAAAAGAACAACCCCCCCCGGAAAAGGGAGAGAATCTAGTTACGCTTAGGCTAATAGAAATCAAGGAATGGCAGTGCCCATTAACTCATGGGGAGCGGAGTGGGGTTCTTCCCACCTTTTTCTCCCACTCCTGGTCTTTGCATTTAACAGTCCCCAGGCACAGTCCTGATTTCTCTGGCAGGCTGGCTCAAAAGGCTGCTTGAGAGACAGGTTTCAAGATTTGAGTATTGGTATAGATTGACTTTGGACCTTTTCTTTCTGCTCTGCAGAATAATTTTAAAAAACCTTCCCCTTGGAGATAGAGCAACGTTTGTGCCTTGTCTTTGTGTGTAATTTGGTGTCTGCATCACTGTTGAAAGCAGTGAAGGGTCCGTATAAAGCAGCTTTTGGACTAGAAGGAAACTCCAAGGCTCCGCAGCCTTCTTGCACGCGGTGGTTTCAGGCAAGGAGACTGGCCTTGGAGGGATCTGGGAGGGAAGGTTCCTAGGGACGGACGGAAGGGTGCAGGGGGTGGGGCTGGGTAGTTGAGGGAGGTGGGGCTCCCGCGCACTCCTTGGTAGACTGGTGTCCTGCGGCGCCTCCCGTCTTGGCCGCATGGGGGCAGCAGAGGCCCGTGCCCGTGGTTTGTGAGGGCATGGCTGTTTCCTGATGGCGGCCTCCTTTGTGCAGCGTCTCTGCATCAGTCGGTTGTGGGTGCTGCTGCCTTGGTGCAGGCCGCAGAACTGGAGGGACGCAAATTGTGGCCCTTGGGTGGCGATCGAGGTCTTCTCTGCTGCTGCCCCTTGCAGCACTCCCTGACCTTTGCCTGAGCCCCGCCCCCCCATCTTGTTCTCATTTCTTCCAGTCACGTGCTTGGTGGCCCCACCTTCCCCTCAGCCACCACAGACAGCGCTACCACCCATTCGCTGTTACCACAGTGGTTACTTGTCGAGCCCCTCGTCCCATGCCTTCCTCTACTTGCTAGGGCAGAGGAACAGCTGCCCCTCACCCCCTTCCAGGAAGATAGAGGAGGGGGAGGGCGCTGGAGGGGCTTCTTGTGGACACCCAGGGCCCGCCTCCCAGGTCTCTGTGTTATGGGTCCACTTGTGCTTTAGAGGCTGTGCCAGCGCTTTACATGGGTTGTCTCACGCAGCCTTTGTGATCTACACAATTCAGAAAAGCAAACTAGTCTGAGGTCCCACAGGCAGGGTCCCCTTCCCTTTCTTGCATTTGCCTTCCACCTCCAAGGACCCACTTGAAGTTCACTCTTGAGAAGCTGCCTTTGTCGGTGGTGTTTGTGTTTTGTTTTTTTAAATTACTGATTTCAGGGAGAGGAAGGGAGAGAGTCATTGAGAGGCTGGGGATCGAGCCTGCAACCCAGGCATGTGCCCAGACTGGGAATCGAACCGCAATCTCCTGGATCCTATGGCAATGCTCAACTGCTGAGCCATGCCCAGCCAGGCTTGGTGGTTGTCCTTAGCTCGCTCACCCCATGGAAGGGTTTTTGGTAGGTCCACCAGTGAGTCTCCTCACTAAATCTTATATTTTATGTCCTCACCTTCCTCAGTTGTAACACAGTAGACCTCGTGCCTTCCAGGCCCCTGTCTCTGCCAGCTTGTTCTCTGAAGACAGTTTGATACTAACCAGCTCCAGGAGCAATCTTGATTTCCTTAAGCATCGTCAGCACTCACCTTGACTCTAACTTCCAAGGTAGCACGCCCAGCACATGCCTCTGAGCTCCAGTCCTAAGGCAGTGATTGCCTTTCTGTCTGCTTGTCTATCTCCAAGGCCATCTCTACACAAAAGTGTCCACTTCCTTTCCCCTGAATCCAGCCCCCACATTTCCATTTCCTCCAGCTTGAGACGCATGTAAACTCAGTCTCCACTCACCATTGCCATCACCCTGGTTTAAACCACTGCCATCTTGTCTCAGCAGTTGTCCTTTCTAGTCTGCCCTTCAGATGGTAGCCTGAGGGTCCCACCCAACACCCCCCCCCCCACTA